TAATATGGGGAGACCTGTAAAAGTTAGTCACTATTTAACAAAACTGCAACAAATTGGCGCTAACAATGAGCGTTACTTCTTACCTCCCAATGCAGACAAACTCATCTATGCGCACACACACACACAAACCGACGATGAGGAGGAGAGCCGCACAGTAGCGTTTTGCCTATGATCACACCTGTTTTAGATCTTCTGTGAATGAGCAGCAATAGTGCAAAGAGAGGGGAAACCTACCAGCAAGATCAGAGCAGCATGCACCTAATGTCATGCCTTTCGACTGTCAGTCCCTGAGACGCGAGTCACAGCCAAAGCTTGAGGAAGACGTGTGTCCGATTGGGCGCAGCGGCTTCTTATATACCACGCCCACTTTGCCCAACCTGAACCTCGCACCTGAAAGCTATTTGTATAGCAATACATATATTTCTATACCACTACAAGGGTTTATTCACATTTATCTGCCGCTATTGTTAATGGACACTTTCAAATGCATTAAGCCTTAAACTTCGAACATAGCTCAGACTTTAGATGGACTTTCAAACCCCTTTCCCCCTCTTGCCCTCTTTTATTTTATTTTTTTTCAGTACTGTTTAGTGTCTGCTTAGTTATTATTTATATAATACTGTGTGACTGTAGCTAATAAAGGTACCATCGTATTTTAACTTGCAGTCTTTTGTGTTTATTTTACACAGTGAACGATTTATCACTCAGGCTGGATTCCCTCTTCTTTCAGTAGCATGCCATGCTTGATTGGTGATTAATATTAATAAATTACTAAGAGCTATAGCCTAAATTACTAAATTGGTGAAAGACAACTGAATGTTCAACCTTTTAGGTAAGAGGCTAAAAAACCCTGGTCAGTAAGTAAATTACAGTTCAAATCAGTCAACTGATAATAAGTAATTAGTTTTACCCTTGATTTGAATGACCTATTAATTAACTATAACTTCCAGTTCTAGTTAAACTCTAACAACAATGTTTTATTTGTGAGGAAATTAGACATAAGGTAAGAGACTGCAGAAACAAAGAAGAGAAATTTCAACCGAGAGCGACCAGCACACAAATTACAGATTCTGTTTAAGAGAGACATAAATCCACAATGAAGATGAAAAGTTCCTGCTCCAGGTGTGTGAATGGCAACCCCATGACACACAGCAGCAAGGTATACTGTTAGACAGCGGTGCCAATGCCCACATCATGACCAATGAGGACACCATCAGATTTGACAAAACATTCAAGGCCAAGAACCATGTTATGTAGTTAGCGGATGGGACATGGATCACTGGCAGCGTCCTGAGGAAAGGGGACGTGCAGACTGAACTGACCAACTGTAACGGGAACATGGTGAATGTCAAACGCATAGATTTCCTCCTGATCGCAGGATACTCACAGAACATCCTCTCTGTGGATGCAGCTATTTCGAAAAGGTGCAAGGTCCAACTTCGAGTAGAATAACAACAAAATTGTTCTTCTTGATGGTACAACATGTAAAATAAAGGCATAAGACAGACTGTAGTGTGTATACATTGTCATAGTGAAAGATGTAAGCAGTGAGGACTTATGCAATGCATCTTTTGATCTGAAAACGTAGGATCAAACGGTGGAGTCATTTAAAGGCTGTAAATATGCTTTAACATTCAGAGATAATTTTTCTGGTGCCATTTATGTGTACTTCCTTAGAAGCAAAATGAAGCAATTAAGGCAACTAAACAGTTCTTAGCAGATGCAGCACCTTACAGCAAAGTATATTGTCTAAGATCAGACAATAGGACAGAGTTTGTGTCAGAGGAGTACCAGTGACTATTGAGAGACAATGCTATAAAGCATGAAAGGTCTGAGCACTATTCTCCCCATCCTTAAAAGCCCCTGTACCAGTGGCGGCCGGCCCATAGGGGGCGCTGGGGCACCGCCCTCCCTGATAAGAAGAGAGAAACGTAAAATATATTTTTAGAAATTAACTCATAAATGTCAGTTTTACTCTCTAGA